CCTAACCCTAACCCTAACCCTAACCCTAACCCTAACCCTAACCCTAACCCTAACCCTAACCCTAACCCTAACCCTAACCCTAACCCTAAAAAAAAAGATGGAAGGATGAAGATGTAAAAGCATGTATGGATAGTTGGGAGATAAGAAATCTTCATAGACTGATGCCTGGCAGGATCAGAGGCTTTTGAATGCGCTATGCCCAAAGCCAGTCGCAGTAATGGGTCATTTCCCGCACCGAAACACCCACAGCCCAACGATGAAGCCGTTCAAGACGCTGCAAAAGGGTGCATTCACTGTTCCATCTTGACCTGTATCCAATGCGACAGAGACACCACAGATTTCCAAGCATACATGGCGAACATCGACCCACCGCCGTCAAGGCCGGTCAAGGCCGACCCAAAAATGTCGCATATCCATGTCGCTCACCTTGATCCTTATCAGAGACACACCTTGCCATGCTGGATTATCATTCATTGCGTTCGAAATACTGATCTGGCGGATGTGCGGCCGATGTTTGAGATGTTGAAGGGTGGGCGATTCGACTGGCAGCCTTCTGCAGACATTCCAGCAACAAACTGAGTATCCAGCAATGATGAGCAGCATCGATACACCCTAGGGCATGTCTAAGCCATTGAGATACTGAGTCGAGAAAGCCAGTGTACGCTTTGTAGTTTGGGCATTGTCGACCACATTCCCAAGCAACATCATTTCTGGTCAGATCTTCGCCGGCCTTGCGGGATCATGATGCCCGGGTGCTGAGAGGATACGCGCCAAAATATCAGTCCACCTTGATGGCTTTTGAGCCCAGCGGAAGGTCGTCAAGTTGGGCGCTATGATGGCCGACGGCGAAGAAGCGGCTGTGGGTCGAATGAAGTCGCAAAAATGGGTGGGAGGATGTCGCAAGGGATACTAGACGCCATATACACTGCCATTTAACCATCCACGGCATCGCTTGACCATAGAAGAGACTGGTTGTGCGGTGAGGGCAGCAGTGCAAGGTGAACGCGCGGCCCATTTGATCAGAATGATCAGATGGACCTGTTCGAAAATCGGATCCCAAGGCCAAGGCAAGGCCAAAGGAACACTTCAACACAGCAGAATGATGGCCAGAGCAGAGCTAGAGATGGCTTGTGAATTCCTAGATGTAGTTTTGGAGGTACTTGATCGATCGTAGACTATGAAAATGACCGCCAACGGAGGATTTCAAGGTGAAAAGAGCATGAGAAGCAATCAGGTTTGGCTTCTAAGATATCCAGTGGCAGCACCATAAGGATTCTGGAGCAGATGTAAGTACATCAAAGATGCATCCGGATCTTAGCTATCGAATGGTACTCATTACATTCCATCAAATTTGAGTTGAGATGTAGTTACGGGCCTGAGCAAATGTGGACAGAATAGGCAGGGAGTGGGAGGGGTGTCATGTCATCTGAAGGGGGTTTTTGCCCACTATAAGGTGTGGAATAGGCCGGGGTATTCTCGGGTCATAAGTATAGGATTCAGGAGAAGATGTAAGTACATAAAAGATGCATTAGGTTCTCAGCTATCGAATGGTACTCATTTCAATACATATAGTTGAGGTTGAAGGGCAAAGACGGCTGGCGCCAGATTGCGGTTGGAGTGAAGGGTCCCTTTGGGGGTGGTTGGTCCATCTGATGGGACGCGCGCGAGCGAAATAAGTCTGGAGTGAAGGGTCATTCCATGGGTCATAAGTATAGGCCTTCAAAACGCCTGTCATCGCTACTCGGAAGCTGCGTCTGCCTTGCGCGCTCTTCTAACTCTGCTTCTTCCGCACGACGCTTTCTGATCAGTTCAGTATTCTTCGCCCGTATTTGTTCGGCCCTTGTGCTTTCAATCTCGGCAATCTCAGCCTCCAGCCCAGTCTCGCCCTCCTCTTGTGCTGTCTTGAGGCGGGTGAGACGACGTCCCAATGCTAGTGAATTCCAATTCGTGCGATTGACCATTCCTGCCTATAACTGAGGATGTATAGTCTTGTCTGCTGCTCTGCTGCTTTGTGTACGTGTCCAATCGCGCGCGCGAATTACGGAGCGCGTTTCGACATGACGCCAGCCCTAAGGCATTCTCAATTCATACTTCAAATTTACAAATCCTATCTTAACAACAAACTGTGGATGGCCAAGGGCACCATCCACATCCAGCAGAATTGCAACGGCGTCATCGACGTCGCGCGATCTTCTGGTCGTGCTGTGGACCGTATGAGTATGGGAGTGCGCTGCGGGGTGGGTCAGAGAAGGAAAAAAGTTGCGAGATCTGCTTATTTTTGGCAGGACATTTTACTGTGCGATTGTCCTGCGGCAGGACGTTTCAAAGTGTAAATGTCCTGCCGCAGGACATTTACCCGCAGGACAATTCATGTGACCGGGTATGTAAGACAACGGAACAAAAAAAATAGAAAAGAAAAAACTGGGGATGGCCAAGGGCACCATCCACATCAATTCCCCTGATATAGGACATCTCTGACATGTCTAAGAAACTTCACCCCTGACTCATAGCATGATGTGCTAGCACGTGAATCTCTCCTAATTTCGCAGATAACAAATTTTTGACTCTCACTCCTCTTCTGCAAAAGCCATCATTGGAGCTCAAGTGCCGCTTGCTTGCCGCATTTTATCGCCAAGATCACGTCAGCAGCGACTTCGGCCCAAGTACCAGTTGAACTTCCGCTGCGCTCATCAGCCATTGTGTGCGCCAAGTCATGAACCTATCACAACACTTCATCGGAATGCATATTTTGTTCCTTGTGTCGATACTCATCCAAAGAAATTTGGCTGGATGTGCTAAATCGAAGCTCGGGGCGCAATGCAGTGATTCGGAACACGAGAACGATCCTGGAAGCGCTGGACAGGGAGTCCATGAGCAAACACCCTCACCAGACCCCTTTAGTGGTGTACAAACTCCACTGCCGTCTACAAGGTTGGAATTTATCATCGAAAAGAATTTCAATGTCATGGGTGGAGAGGATGAGTGTCAACAGACCTGTGGAGACCTTGTGGAGAAATACCAGGAGGGTCGTTTCCTATATAAGTCTGGTTATGGCCCTTTCACACATGATCGCTGTAATCTTGGCTGGTTGCGTCTCGGATGGCGATTTCAGTTGACCCGCTTGCCAGCGATCTTTCGGAATGAGACAATCGAGCCTTTCTTTTTGGAAATCAACAAAGAAGTCGCCGGAATGCATAACACCGAAGCACTCAAAGAGCGCACTCTCGTCAAATTGGGAAAGCTTGTCTCTGGACGGTTGAATTCTGCGCTTGAGGAGCTCCAGGGAGAGTCAGATGAGTTGACTTACCTCAGAGGCAATGTGAACCTATATTGTCCTAATTTGGAATTTGAAGCTTCTACATCTGCCGCGAACCATCTTTTTTGTCACACAACGGAAACCATGTCACTGGCAGGTCAAATGACAGACATGTTCAAGCAAGTGATTGTAGATCTGCTTCACACGTGGTTTGAGGCCTTCCGAGCAAGAATCGCTGGAACACAGCCAGATGGCAATAAGCAAAAGGGTCATGCTGGTCGGCAAAAAGACAAAGTGGTCCCGAGTCGCTGTAGCTGCCAGATTGGCATTGTTGTTGAGCACTTTCTACGAGATGAAGATTGTCTTGCAGCTGTCTTTGCCGGACTGTTTATGCAAAACCAGTGGTCCCTTCGAGGACCCAACGACAACTACATTCAAGAAAGTGTTGTCGACCTCTTCATAGCCGGGAACGAACACGGCGAATGGGAAAGATCTATCTCTAGAACGTCTCTCATGGTTCGAGCTGAATACTTCAGAAGTCTTTCAGCAGAGGTCATGAGCCACGTGCTCATCAGACCTTTGAAATGGACGTCCACGATGATCCGGGAAGAGATGGACAAATTATGGTTCAGGTCATACACGGCATACATTCGCTGGAACAGGTTTGGGCAGCCGAGCAAAGCATATTACGCCTCGATCGCCGGATCATACCCCAATAATCCTGTGCCTGCCCAAGACTTGGTGTAGGTGTCAGGACTGAAGTCTGAGTCATCTTCATAAGTCCCACTCGCAGCTCTTGGTCACATCTTACGCTATTCCCTTGTGCACAACCACAACGATCGATCCAGACTTTTCTGCTCTGGAACATGGAATTTTCCGTTCAGCATCTTCAACAAGTTGCTTGCTTGCTTCTGGCTTCAGCCCCCTCAAAATATCTCTTTGCGTCTGGCTCGTATTGCTAGACACAACGAACTGTCCTTTAGGGCTTGGGCTGCTCTCTCTTGTCTAACTACCATTACCACTAGTCGAATGGAGATAACAGGATGGCCTTCTGCTGCTTTCAACTTCGTATACAGGTAGAATTGTCACTACCTAGTCTTGTTATCCCTAAATTTTTGGACGACACACAACTTGAGCGCACCTCCATGTGATCCACCTTCTTTCAGCTCGAGAAAGGTAGGCGAAAGGAGGCAGGTTTGTTTGTGTCAAGGGTCTTCGTGTCGCATAGCAAAGCATCCCAGGCAACGATCGATAGAGATACCTGTGGGTCACTCGTCGCAGATACCGGCACTCACAGAGTCGCGAGGTTCAGAGATACGGATACCTACATTGACGGAGTCTTCACTGGTCCTGCAATCACCGCATGAAGGTCTCTGACTTGGAAGATGTTCTTGGAATGCTCTGATGGACCGCGAGAGGGACCGGCCTATTGCTTCGAACCGCTCGTAACATGTGAGGCACAGCTGCTGGACCGTCGATCTAGCAACGGTTGGCGTCGAGGAAAGAGCATCTGTGAGCACCGGTCTGTCCGGTGAAAAGTCGATGTTCAGAACCATCGACAATAGTAACTGATCATGGTCTTTATTTATGCTACGAGCACGACTGTGCACTCTCTAAAAGAATCTTCATCGGTGTTGATGATCAAGCTTGGACACGGAGAAGGTTGACAGCATTGTATGTGGACCGAAAACACTCTAGATCATATCTACGAGCATGTCGTGCCTCTGAGCTCAAATGATCTCGCGAAAGGCTTGCGAGGCCTAGTCAGTTCAGCAAAGGCGATCATCAGCACTGTGAGTAGTTTACTGCCATCATCCCAGAATCTTCTTGAGCTTCCCGACCTCCATGTGTCTCTGCAAGTCCGAGTTGCCGCCAATGAAACGACCCTTCTTGAAGGTTTGCGGCACGGTGTGCTGTTTTGTTTTGGCACCAAGATACTTCTGCATCATTGCACCATTTGGATGCTGGTCCAATTCGACAACTGTGTGCTGAATGCCTTGCTGCTTGAGCAGCGTCTTTGCGGCTCGGCTGTGCCCACAATAAGACTTGCTGAAAACCATCACTTTGTGTCTAGAGATGAGCTTTTCAACGTCAGCCCTGGCTTGCTCTGCAGACTCATAGTGTAAGCGCTCCCGTTGTGCTCTCCACCACCACTGGTTCGGGACAAACTCGGACTCTTCTTCCAACACATCATGCCATGGCTTGTCATTGAGGATGTAGTGCACCACCTTGACACGGTCGTCATTCCACATGGGCGCATGATGTTGGCGCATTGTCTTGAGGGCATTGTACACATATGGTAGGGAAATCCAGTTGTCCTTAAAGTAGTAACTCAGCAATGACTGGTCGGCAAAAGCAAACGTGGACGTCAATGTCTCATTTTGCATGATCGCAGCAATCGCATTGAAGTGCTTTTGGTTTGGGTCAATCACTTGAAGGCCGCCATTCATGATGGCAAGTCCAGAGCCGGCTTCGACAGCGTGGCTCATGAGATGAGCAGCTTCCGGCGTTTCGTGTTGCTTTGTGTAGGCGCAATTGTGCGGAACCCAGTCAGCCGGGTAATGTGAAATATTGTTTGGATTACAGACGCAGGCGTGCGTCGCGGCCATGGTGCCTGTCGGTAGTGTCATTTCCATGAGCTCGTCAATGTTGTGTCGGACAAGCATGTCGGCGTCCAACTCAACGATGCGATCGTAGGAGACCATTCCGTGGGGAAGAAGCTTGCTCCAGCAGTCGTAGAATCGCTCGTCGATGCCATAGTCCTTGAAGGTAGTGGGTAGCAAGAGGTCGACTTGTTTTGTGCGAATGTTGCGCTTGGCCAGCTCTTCAAGTACTTCTGCCTCGATTGTCGGCGGATGGAACACAACAAGGGGATACTTTGAGCCTGTTTGCTTGATGGAGAAGTCAAGTGTCAAGGCGCCCTCGAGGTAGGCCTTGTTGGTGAGGAGGGTCATCCAAACGCGCTTGTGCTGCATGCGAGCCACCACACTTTGGTAACTCGCATAAGCAAGCAGCACCGCTGCGACGGATGAGATGATGATTGTCCTCGAGACCATGCCGAGGAGCCGGTGCTTTCGCCCTTGGGTGGTTTGGTGTGCAGATGAGCGTCTTGGTTGCTGCTTTGAAATTCATCGGGCGACGACTTGGTGCGACGTGACACACGACAGGAGATGCACCAGCAAGCGGGCAGGGACGGCGCAGCAGTCAGAGAGGTACGGAGTCCATACTCTGCATACACAGGATAGATTCCCAGGGCTGGAAACTAGTAGTCACGGACGCGCGAAGCATCGTCAAAGCCTGCATATATGAAAGAGCCATCCAAAGGCGCAACCAGCCGACGGAACTTCGTTAGTATCATGTACACAGCTGTAAGCAACCACCTGCTTCCTCTCGTCATCCTCGTGGATCATGGGTACGAATCTGGGCGTCGACGCGCTCAGTCTCAAATCGCCGCGCGGCCAGCTCGCGCTTTTTTTGCTCGACAAAGGCCGGCGGTATGCCTGCTGGTGCCGTCTGCGCAGTATCGAGGAGCTCCCACAGCTCTCTTGTGAAGAGGTCTGTGCCGTCACCGAGAAATCCAGAGATGCTGTCGGCCAAGACTTTTCTGTCTGGCTACCGCGTTAGCAAGCTATCGTGTCATAATGTGCGTACATAGCGCTCGCCTTCAAGGTAAGAGGTGACCATCGAGCACACAATCTCATCTTCAAACCCTAGCAAGTCGGTTACGCGCGTCACAATCCATGGTTGCATTGCGTCCAGACTGACATTGTCCATGTTGATCTAAAGTTAGCTGGAGACTAGCTACCGCCACGACATGCCTTGCCGATGCCTGTGGTCGAGCGATGAGCTAGCAGCTGCGATGCGTCTGCTCTGCGACCGCGATACGCCATGAGCTCTGTCTTGGTGTCTGCCAGCCCGATGAATTTATGGACGCGACATATTTGTGGTCAAGTCTCAACTCGTATGTACATGCTAGATGCTAGTCAACCTCTTCAATCTCGTCATTCACCACGCTTGTGTCTATAGACGGAGCCAGCTCTGCTTCTTGCGTCGTTCTTGTCGTGGCATGCTCTTCAACGACCGGCTCTTCATAGTCCAAGCTTTCTGAAACGCCAGCCTGTTCGAATCGAGCCAGCTT